TGGCTAGGTGTAGTTTTCAACCACATTAACTCAGCTTTGCAAACACAAATCCTTGGGTGCCCAAATAGTACATGTACTCTCTAATTCTTCATTTCTCTATTTCTCGATTCTCTGTGAATACAACTTCAGTCCAGCATTCATTATTTTTGTGCACACATGTTGTTTGATTAAATGTTTACATATGTGATCTAAAGGAACATCAGTAAGTCACTAATTTTTCAAAGAAGCAAATGTGTTTGGTTACTGCATGTTTGGTTTGAACTGATTATTTCCATCATTTCTTTACTACAAAGTTTTTTATAGGAAAACCTGAAAGGAAAAGCATTTGGTGGCAAGTTTTTAGTCTAATAAATAAGTAAAGGGCTCTGCTTTCATTTGCCAATAGAAGTCTATAACGGTAGATATTATCAACGTCTGGTTTAGTCGATAGAAGTCTAGAGCGGTAGATATTATCAATTCAGTATTTATAGAGCTTCTCAATGACAAACTAGATTTGTTTTGGATAAAAATAAAGAAAGTGTATTGAAGAAAGTGTTTTACATTAGTTTTAGGAGCACCAAAGCATATAAGGTGTCCAATGAAATGTTTATATGGTATTAGTCTTTATACTTCAGTTTATCAGTTTTATTTTTTTAGCTTTCTATGTATGAATTTCTGAAATACTACTTTTCTGGAGTATGTAGTGATATTAGTATACATTGAGTCTGTAGTATTATGAAGTACTAATGACTGCTATGTCATTTCTTAGGTCTATGTGTATTCTATTGAATTAGAAATTGAGGATATCTTAAAAACACGCCAAAAGTCCCGCTTGAGCATGTCAAAGCATAAATTCTCACTTGTGGAGTATTCTTTTATTACAATTCCCGGCCGCATATTTTTTTTTGAATATATAATATTCTATGTTAATGTGAAAAGAATTTTAATAGACTCAAATCTTAATTTTAGTAGATCAACCACCGGATCATAAATGTTAGAATTCTAAATTTCTAATAGAGGTTGTGCTCCTATTGTTTCATACAATTTTACTCTTGTTTTGGATTTCCTATTGCAATTGGCTGGCCTGATTTCATGAACTTGATGTTTCATAAAAAACTGAATGATCTTTAAAAGTCTTCATTCATGTTGAAAATACAATTTTAGCGTACTATTTTTTTAGATTCCATATCATTGTGTTATCTCAAAGCACTAAAATTTTGCAATTCTTAAAGGATTCAGACAACCATTGCCAAATGAATGATCTTTGTTAGTATTCGGTGAAATACTAAACTGTTGGATGAATTTTAGTAGAAAACTTTTGGAATATCCGTTCTAGCTATCTGCTCTTTCAAAATATCAGTTTTCATGGCTCACAACATGGAAGTGTTTAAAGGTATTTTCCCATACATTTTCCTCACGGTTATGATGTTTATGAATTATGATGGCTTTTTGGCTTTGGGGTTTGATTTTTTGTTCATATTTTCTTCCAAACATCAGATTAATAATAGCTTAAATTGCTTCTGGTCTTACACTTATACTACTCATGACTGCAATCTGGATTCTTAGGACAAAACTTTATTACCCCCCAAGTTTTGGATTATTGCAGTTATTGTAGTTATAAGAATTAACAGAAATGTAGGCACATGATAACAATTAGATAAATAGAGATTTATATGAGAACTCACATGAAAAGGGTTATTATCACAGTTTGATGAAATTCATATTAATCTTTTTTTGCAGGTTTTGTAATACACGAAGGGACAAATTCATCTTAGTTTTGTGCTTTAGGTTTTTTATCTCTTTTTTCTTTGTAAAATTCGTATCTTCATCACTCCATTTTCCTCGGTACTTTGCTTTACACCGACACAGGAGAGTTAAAAGTATTATGGATTTGACAAGTAAAATGTAGATATGGCAATTCATATTCTCAACGCTTCCTACCTACTGATACATAAAAAAAAATCACCACTTTCTCGCTCAAACAAATTAAACATCCACACAATACACTTTAATCAGGGCCCTTCATTTCGGCTCATGGTGATTTTTGTTGCCCTTAAAGAATCCTATGTGTCCATCTCCCCACAATTTGCACATCTTGGAAAATATCAATTTGTTATTTTCTTTTCATTCTTGAAGAAAATGTCACGATGTTTAAATAATGTCAGAATTATCAAATGTTATATCACTTTATTGGTAAATATATCAAACTTCAAATATGAGTACTTTTACAACATTATATTTCTTTATTATCTAATTATTAGTGTATGACATTTCAAATAGATAGATTTGAACTTCAGCGTGGTAAGTAACAACAGATAATTGAGCGGCAAAATTTTTCCTCTCATAGGTAGTGTTTTTTAGTATAAGATAAACGGACTAATAAAAAAGCGGCCAAGCGGGATAATTTTCTCTCACATACGTAGTGTTTTTAGATATAAAATAAAGAAGAAGATAAATGAACTAATAATTGAGCGGAATAATTTTCTCTCTAATATATAACGCTTTTAAGTATACTAGATAAACAAACTAATAATTGAGCAGAGATATTCTCTCATATATGTAGTGCCTTTGTGTATAAGAAAAGATAAATAGACTAATAATTGAACGAGCAAATATTGTCTCTCATATATAATGCTTTTAGGTATAATATATAAACTAATTAATAATTAAACGAGAGAATTTTCTCTCTCATATGTAGTACTCTTATGTATAAGGTAAGCAAACTAATAATTGAGCAGGAGAATTCTCTCTCTCATACGTAGTACTCTTAGATATAAGATAAGCGGACATATAACTGAGCGGGAGAATTTTCACTCTCACATGTAGTGCTTTTTGGTATAAGATAAGTAGACTAATAATTGAGTGAAAAAATTCTCTCTCTCATATGAAGTGTTGTTACGTATAATATAAGCGGATAAATAATTGAACGGGAAAATTTTCTCTCTTATATGTATTACTTTTAAGCAAAGGTAAGCGGTCTAATAATTGAGTTGGAGAATTCTCTCTCATATGTAGTATTTGTATGTATAAGATAAGCTAACTAATAAATGAGCGAGAAAATTTTCTCTCTCATCTGTAGTGCTTTTTTGTATAAGATAGGATAAGCAGACTAATAATATACCTGAATACTTTATCTCTCATTTGTAGTGCTTTTATGTGTAACAAGATAAACAGATTAATAGTTGAGTGGAAAAATATTCTCTCATATGTAGTTTTTTTAGGTATAAGATAAGATAAGCAGGGCCGGTCCTGAGGAAATGAAGGCCCTATGCAGAAAAAATAATTGGGCCTTCTTTTCAAAGTTTCAACACAAGTTAAAAAAACCGAACCGAAATCGCATCGACTCAAACGGGACCCGAAAGTCAGGACTCGAACATAAATCGGTTTAATGAAGCTTTTTTGAGTTATAAAATTGGTTCAAACCGAACTGAACCGATTTTTATTAAGAGGTATTTTAATTATTTATTTTGTAGAACAAATAGGTAATATAAAACTTGTACATCCGTATTTCAACAATTAGTTGATTTGGTCCGGTGGTTGATGTTTAGAAATCAGCGTGCATGCTTTTATTTTCACCTGGGTTCAAATCGTGCATGCCTCGCTCGCTCCTCCTTTTGCAGATGAGGAATACGCCAAGTGACGAACCAGGTCTGCTTCAAAGCCTTGTCCTAGTCCACCTAAGTAATACTACTCCCTCCGTCCCGCTAACATTGGGACAAGAGGGAGTGACACACAAATTAATAAAAAGTGGTTTATGTGGTTGATATTGAATTGATAAAGTAAGAATAAAGTAAGAATTATTTAGAGCCACACAAATTTTACCAAATTTGGTATGAGACAATCTTAATGGGACAGAACGATAAGGTAAAATGAGACAATCATAGCGGGACGGAGGTAGTTGTATACTACCACACAAAAAAAATTGGGCCCTTCCAATTTTTTGGGCCCTGTGCGGTTGGACACCTTGCACACCACCAGGGCCGGCCCTGAAGATAGGCAGACTAATAATTGAGGTGGAAACTTTCACTCTCATATGTAGTGCTTTTAAATATATAAGATTAGCAAACTAATAATTGAGAGAGAATTTTTTATTTTATACGTAGTGTTTTTAGGTATAAGAAAATAAGTGTGCTAATAATTGAGAATAAGAATTTTGCCTCTCAATCTCATGCGTAGTGCTTTTAAGTACATTACTGAATATATCATTTTTACCACGGTCGTAATCAGTCATAAAAGACTAAAGAAACTGTGGTGAATATTATTTATGACAATTTTGGGACAATTTTGCGTGTGTGGGCACAACAGCTGTGGTAAAAACATAAGCCACAATAAAAAATTGTCATATACAATAGGATAAGCGAGATAATTTTTCTATCATATGTAGTGTTTTTAAGTATAAGTTAAGCAAATAATAACTGATTGGGAGAATTTTCTCTCTCATATTTCTTATCTCAAGACCTTTTAAACTTATGAGAAGATATTTCTATAATTGTCACATATGTGATGATAATCAATAAATTTCTAGCTCTATCACTGGAAAAAGAAGAAACTTAATTTCCTCCCTAGACATATTTTAGTCATGTAATGCTTTATATATATGTGGCGTTATCGAGGGTGAATATATGGATTGATAATTTTAATACATTATAATAAGAGAAAAGCATTAGACGTTATCACTAAAAGTTCTCTTTAAAGTAGTTTTTCGAAACTCTAACAATTAAGATCAATATTTTATTATTTGTTGCCTGCAATACCAATTATTACGTAACAAATTCTTATGGATAGTGTTGATTTTTTTTACTTTAATTTTCTTTTACTTTGAATATTTTTCGTATAGATTTATACTTTTTGATATTAACTTATTGTACTCTATTTTTGAAATGCTATAAAATTGTATAAAAAACATTTTTATACTACGTATTTAATTAGATCATGAACAAAAATATATAAGGATAATTGTTCTTTCCCGTGCGTATGTACGGGTGTTGTGCTAGTGAGTATAAAATGAGGGTGGAGCGGAGAGAGAGAGAGAGGTCGTTCCTTTTTTCAAGCTTCAATGACGTGAGACCATACATAAGAGTGTGAGTAGATAAGTACATAGATATATGCAATACGTATAGTAGGCTTTGTACGTATAACCATTTCCAATCCATTCATCTTTGCATGCTTCACCAACTCTTCATAAAGAAAACCTGGAACCCAAATTGAGTTGAAACAAACAATTGCATACAAGAAATTTAAGAAAAGCAAATAAACTCACACATAACAAAAGTGCATAGCAGAGCTGGGATTAAATAGAATCACAAACACATCATGTACTCCTCCATTGCTATACCAGTGTGATCTCATAGGTCGAAGCTTCGATATATAGTTGATTTCAAACGGGTAACTGATTCCCATCCAACATTTTTTGTATTTTGATCAGTAGTGTGTGTCCGTAGTGATGATTTGATATGCTTTTTTTCTTTTGGGATAATACTGTAATTTATCAGTAATGTGTGATCCATGGATTTTGTAATATTTAGAAGTAGATTTTTTGTTTGATTTGATGTTTTGTGTTTGAGAGACTGAAAATGAAGGATGATGAGGAGCTTGAGATGTTGTTGGATGAGATCCCTCGTGTAACATGCATTGTTCATCCAAATAGCATTAATAGCGGCTGTTATGAGTATGATCATGAGAGTGGATTGGATGTGCAACAAAAATTGGTTGAGAACTACTGGTATGAACATCATTCATGTGTCTCCCCTGTAAGTGCATTTTCCTTAAAATCATATGGATCTTCTTCAAGCTTGTTATCAGGTGGATCTTCCACCCTATCCTCATTTGAAGATGTAATTAAATCTCAACATCATTATAGAAATACTTCTGATAATATGAATAAATTGAGGATCGACCCCGATTATTATCATCATGATGATGGTAATACTACGAGTAATTTTTGTGAACAAAATCTATCAAGGAGTTTCAGTACAATGAAACTTAATGAGGAGGAGCAAGAGAGTGTTGCTTCAACTAGCCCCACTGCTACTTTCTGGTCTCACAATTACTCAAATAGAAAAAATGTGGGAATGATTTCCCATAAATATTTTGCTTCTGATCATCATAGTACACATGCGAGCTTTTATGGTATAACGACACATGATCACCTAGATGTTCTTGGTCGTCTGACTTCTCCAATGGCATATAGTAATCGTGGGCCCTTAAATAAAATGGATCTAAAATGTCATATCCATCATATTGGAATTCCACTAATGGACTTACCAAATGATGTTACAAGCAGTAATGGTATTTCCGATCTCCCGCGATATGGAACTTATGCTATTGAAAATTCTTCCAACAATCTACCTAAGGTTCCTCACGTAAAGCCTTGTATGGACTCGGAAAATGGAAGGAGGTACAAGGCGCATTCTTCATGTGTTCAAATACCTATTATGAGAAAGCTTGAGATAATTGATTGGGAAGGCACTTTGATTGATGAAACGAGCAAGGGGCATCGCCGTTTTCTTAGGGCTCAAGAAAAGAGGTTTTCACCGGCCAAAGGATTTCGCAAATGTGGTAGAACTGAGAGGATGTGCTCTTTCTCTTCATCTCTCCCACTAAAGCTTTCTTCACTCAGAGAAGTTAAAGGGTATATTTATCATATAGCGAAGGATCAACAAGGTTGCCGATTCTTGCAAAGAATGTTCGATGTGGGAAGTCCCCAAGATGTGCTCGTTATTTCCAATGCGATAATAGATCACGTTGTTGAGCTTATGATGAATCCTTTTGGGAACTACCTCATCCAAAATTTGTTGGAGGTGTGCAATGAAGAACAAAGGATGAAAATACTTCATATGGTGACAGAAGAGTCTGGCCAGATTGTTAGGATATCTTTGAATACTCACGGGTATATAGTTTGTTGTAATATATTCTTTCCAATATACTCTTTTCATCTTGATTCATTATTACTAACGTATAAAAGTTTTTTATTTTTTATATTAGGACACGAGTAGTTCAGAAGTTGATTGAGACGTTAAAAACCAGGGAACAGATCTCATTGATCATTTCATCACTTGAACCAGGATTTCTTTCGCTTATTAAGGACTTGAACGGTAATCATGTTATTCAGAGATGTTTGCAATATCTTGCAAATGAAGACACTAAGGTAATTCTATCGGAACTGTTATACTACAATACTAGCCCTTTCTCATAATGATTTGACATTTATTACTTTAATTTCTTGGTCAACGTGCTTAAACTTGACCAATGCTTTTAATCAATACTACGTATATTATAGTGATAGTCATAAATTTTGTACTTCTATAGGATTTCTTGTAATAAATTAATAACATGTTTACAAATTGTAAATCACTTTGAATAAAAATATATTATTGGTCAAAATATAACAACTTTGGTCAAGAAAGTTTAAATGGCATATCATTATATGGTCGGGAAGAAAACACAGAGGCAGTATTGCTCCTTCTGCTAGTTAATATAAGTTTGTGACAACAAATTTATTTACTACCCTAGTTTCTTGTGTTTCTAACTTATATTCCACATCTTTTTGTGTAGTTCATATTTGTTGCAGCTGCAAAGCATTGTGTGGATATTGCAACACATCAACACGGTTGTTGTGTTCTTCAAAGATGCATCACCCACGGAATTGGATATCATCAGGAAAGATTGATTGTGGAGATCAACACGGTTGTTGTGTTCTAGCTCATGATGCTTTTGGGTGATTAAATTAACAGTTTTGTTGCAATAAATGCCTTTTGTATCTCTTAGTTTTCAATGCACACAATTAATAAATTCGTTAGTGTTAGATCATCACATTATCACATACAATTAAATATAAAAATACATACTCACATTCTACATAAAATCATTTAGTTAGCTCTATTAGGTTGACTTTTAAATAGAAACTCAAACCTTATTTGTTTGTTGACCTTATTTTTACAACTTAACTGATCATTTTCTTTTCAAATTCTTTCTGATTGGGGACAGAAATTATGTTGTTCAATTCATTTTGGAGCTCAAGATTCCATCTGCAACATCAAAGTTAATATCTCAATTTGAGGGAAACTTTGTACATCTCTCCACACAAAAGTTCAGCAGCCATGTGGTTGAAAAATGTCTTGTTGAATGCGACTATAAGGTCAAGTCTAAGATAGTCCATGAACTCATCTCTACAACTCACTTTGAGCAGTTGCTTCAAGACCCTCATGCAAATTATGTTATTCAAACAGCTCTTCGGACATCCGAGGTACTAATTACACATAATGATCAAAATGAGAGCTAGTTGAACTTGTGCATCATATACTCATCTCTTGTGCTCTAATTCTCAACGTTTTACCTCATTATACTTTTATCAGGGATGTCTACATAGTTTACTAATCGAGGCGATCAAATTCCATAAGGCAATCACCCGAAACAACCCTTATTCAAAGAGGATTTTCTCTAACAAACTTTGGAAGCAGTGATGTAAATGGTGATGAGACAGCAAACGATGTTGATATCATAAGTTCTTATATAAGTTCATTGGTGGATCATAACATAATCGATTCAACTATAATATGTCTATAAATGGTCTTCAATTTTGTTCTTCTATCAAAATCCCTTTTCCACGTGGTTTTACTTTCATTTTCATTTTAGAGTTGCCAACTGAAAGGCAAGATGTTTCTACCAAATACATTGTGCAAGTGTACGAGGTACTCATGTTATGTTGTTGTGAAATATAAGGACACGGCTTATGCAACGACTATTATTCCAGTTGAGTCTAAGAATTTGTCAATTTGCAGTTCACATAGATGGTTTCAACACATCATTTTTTGTTTGAACAAAAAGTAATACAGAGTATCAATATATCAAAGATGACGACTCTGTGTCATTACTTTCCGATCATGTTTGGTAATTTACCTAGAAATTTAGAGCAAGAAAAACTAATCCACATATAATAATAATAATAATAATATTATTATTATTATTATTATTATTAATAATAATAATGATAATAATAATAATAACAATAATAATAATAAGCATAACAATAATAATAATAATAATAACAATAATAATAATAACAATAATAATAATAAGCATAACAATAATAATAATAATAAAAATAATAATAATAACAATAATAATAATCATAATAATAATAACAATAATAATAATAATAATAATAATAATAATAATAATAATAATAATAATAATAATAATAATAATAATAATAATAATAATAATAATAATAATAATAATAATAATAATAATAATAATAATAATAATAATAATAATAATAATAATAATAATAATAATAATAATAATAATAATAATAATAATAATAATAATAATAATAATAATAATAATAATAATAATAATAATAATAATAATAATAATAATAATAATAATAATAATAATAATAATAATAATAATAATAATAATAATAATAATAATAATAATAATAATAATAATAATAATAATAATAATAATAATAATAATAATAATAATAATAATAATAATAATAATAATAATAATAATAATAATAATAATAATAATAATAATAATAATAATAATAATAATAAAATTAAACTTCATAAATAAAGGTATAGCTCACTATATTCCAATGGGTGAATATATTGAAAGAATCAGGTTTAGGTGGGAACTGACAAGTTCAGATAAATACGTATTAGTTGGGAAAAAAATAGGTCCAGACATGTAGCCAAGACCCACATCCATCTTTTACGTTTTATAGTTAAAGATTTTTCAGGTCTTGATGAGGTTTCATATTCCACTAAGAAAGAAATAAAATAAATTAAATATATAAAATTTTGTAAGCTATCAAGATTGTAATATAATTTTTTATGATGAAATTAAAAAAAATTCATATTTATAAATGAAATATAAAATTTGAGTACCGCAACTTTTATATGAAAATTCTCAAAATTGTCATATAACTACCTCGTATAAATAAGAGAATTAGTTAGTTATTCTGATGTTATTATTTAAATCTCGGCTTTTAAGTTCAACTCTTTTACTTTAAAAAAAAATCAACTCTTTTAAATATAAATTATTTAAAGGTTAATATAAAACCATTTCATTTTAATTATATTTTCTATGTCTGATCCAGGTGCATGAGGCCTAAATTCTAATATTTTGAATCTGCCCCTATTTAATTTTCAAAATGGATCCGACTCTCACAGATAGAACATAGAAGATATAAAAATGTACTCATATTCCAAAAAATAAGTATTCTATATCAAGCCTGAATCTGAACACAACTCTATACTCGATGTTCACATCATTTTTTAATGTGGGAGTATGATACCAATCAGAAAAAATGGCCTATATATTACTATTAGACTTTTGAATTCCAAAAACATTACTCTTTTTCTCTTTTCCAAAAAAGTGACTCTAATTTAATTAATTATTGGTTACTACGTATGGAGCATTTAATACCATTTTATCTCTTTCCATTTATCACATCAATACCATTTAATTCCTATCCATTCATAAAATCTCAGCCCATTAAACTTATTGCCATTCTTAACCTCCGCCGGTAATGCCATTCTACCGCCAATCCCAAGCTTCCACTAGTAAATCCATGCTACCGCCCACCCCACTGCATCTCCCGCACGCGAGTCGCCTCCACCTCTGTCACGACTCCTTCATCTTCTTCTCCTTTCTTTTGTCCTACACTCCGGCGACCACACGACCCTACCCTTCTCTATCACAATCGGCAACAGTGCTCGAAAATCTGGATAGAGTTTGGGGCGTATTATTTCCAGATCTGGGGCAGTTTGACGGGTTTGCTTGGTATCAGGCTGGATGAGGCTAGGTAAGGGGTTACGGCAAGGACTAGTCTGGTTGAGTTGGGGTAGGGGAGGGCTGGGGGCTAGGGCGAGGCTGGGGTATTTCTGTAGGGGCTGGGGATGGGGGTAGTACGGGGATGGGGCGGTTCTTGTGGGGATGGGGAGGGGCTAGGGTTGGACTGGTGGGCGGGCAGGGCGGCGTTGGGGGTGCGGCGGGATGGTAGCGCGGGTCACTGTGTAGTGGTAGAGGACCAAGAAAGTGCAGGGTTGGGGCATGGATGAGGGTAGTGGTTGGGGTCACTACCGGGGTAGTCGCGGTTTGAGCAGGTCACTGAAGGTTGTGGTCTGAACAAGTCACTGGAGGTTATGGTCTAGCGGGTCACTGGCGGTCGGTTGTTCATGAACGGTAGAGTAACTGGGGGTGGAGTCACAGGGCCAACATAGTCACTACGTACTATTACGGGTTGTAGAGTCTTGATCTATGCTTAAGGTGGAGTCACTGGCCTAAGCTTGCGGCAGAGTCACTGGACAACGCTAACGGCGGTGATAGGATCGTTGATGGAGGAGTAGTCAATGGACCACATGGACTGATGAAGTCACTGGACTGTGTGCGGTGGAGTCACTGGATGGCAGCGGGAGTTATGGTGGCGGTGGAGTATATGGTAGTTATGCCAGCACCGCAGGATGAACAATTTATTATTTTTGGATGATTAAAGTAATAGTAAATTCATAATAAATGTAATATTTAATAAATGACATTAAATGTATGATTAGTCACACTTTTGGAAAACTTAAGAACACTTCATATTTTTGTCTTTCTTATTTGATTTGGTAATATTCATAAAAAAGGCCTACTAATCACCATGGGAGAATATTTACGCAGTGCTTTTTAGGGGTAACATTGGAGTAAATGTGTGTGTGTGTGTGTGTGTGTATATATATATATATATATATATATATATATATATATATATATATGTGTGTGTGTGTGTGTTATTCTATATTAAGAACAAGATTATTAATGTTGAACATCTCATTTTAGGGAGGACTTTTATTATGTATTTACACATACTTCGTAAGTGATAACAAGACTATAATATTTTTACTTTAATATCCATACTAGTTATCTATTGCATGATGCATGATGCATGTACATCACACGATTTAAAAAAGTGTATCATTGTTATTGGAATATGATCCCTAAAAAGTACTTTGTGTCATTACTTTCCATTCTTGTTTGGTAATTTACCTAGAAAGCATGTCTAGAGAAGAGGTTGAATAGTGTTTATCTGAACTTGTCAGTAGGGACAAAGCAAGGATATGATAACAGGGGGCAAGTAATCATATATGTAGTACAACTTACCTTTAAATTTTGACGCCTCACCTTGTATTTGTTTTAAGTTCACAATTCATTGATTCGAACATATAAAATATTTTTTTAAGATGAAATAATTACGCGTTTATGCCTCCAAAATAGAGTGCAAAACACGGAGTGACGGGAAATGCTTAATTATCTACTAGAAAAATTGGGAGGTTATCATGATACTGTACGCTATCATATAAAAACTTGAGGGCAACAATTTTTTAGAAGGTAAAAAATAATAAAAGTAAAAAAAAAAAAGGAGGGACCAAGACACCCCTAACCGTTTGCATGCTTCTGCCTCTGTGTAGGGATCCCTAAAAAGCATTCTGTGTCATTACTATGCTACATGTCTTGACATATTTCCCCCCAACTAATACGTGTTTATCTGAACTTGTCAGATCTCACCTAAACCTGATTCATTCAATATGTTCACCCATATTGAAAAGTAATGACATGGAGTGCTTTTTAAGGATCATATGGCAATAAATCTTGTATATTAATTGAAGTTCTTTGAAATCTTCCTAATTTATGCATTTATAATACAAAAAAATGAAGAAAATAGTTATATTAATACATAGTATATTAATACGTAGTTTTTTTTTAAAGGAAAATGACTATATTGATTTCATTAGAATAATGATCGTTACAACAATCTCAAAATGATCAAAACTGACAACAACTTTCACCTTCCAACTAATACTTTTAGCCCTACGATTAGACATAGAGACAACCACCCCTAAGGAGCAATACGACTCGCTAACCACCAGACGGGCTTAATGCAGCTATTGTTGAAAAATAGATCCGTCCCCCATTAACAATATCAAATCTAGCCGAACCCTCGATCAATGTAAAAAATCTATTACCATAAGCAAATACCAAAAGCAAAACGATAGCAACGAATTTCTTCGAAAACAAACTAAAAATGGGGACAATGAATTTAAGCAGGATGAACTTATTGAGCCGCTGAACCCAATCTTCCAACGCGGTGTTCAGACCCCTAATCACCCATTTCTAGCATGACGGCGGTTCAGGAGGGGGGATCTTCATCCCTTCATCTTCTTCCTTCAACACCCTGATATGCCCGTGATTTGCCTCCATCTCTTGGTCAACATACCGCACAGACACTACCAGTCCAAACACGAACAGTCTCCAGATCCCTATCATCTCCCCTGTGCTGCAGTTGAAACTCGCCAAGACCCTCCGATCTCGAATGCTCCCACGCCCCACCCCGTGCTCAAGATGAGGAAAACTAGCAAAACTCTGGGACACTGAAGCGCCAAGACAGTTATAGCGCCGCCCGCTGAAAACCTAGACTTTCTAGCAAACCTAGACATTTAAATGTTTTAAGTTGTTTATATCATTATATTCCCATATCATATTTACGTAGTTAGAAAATCATTTCCATTCAATAATACGTAGTATATTAATATGACAAAATTATAAGTAAGAAGAGCAACTCTCACTATCAACTATTAACAAAAAAGCAAATGCATTGTTCATTCTCGAACTCTATACCCTCTCTAGGATCAAATCCATGTGTGAACATGCTTCATTATATCCATCAAAGCGGGAGAAAGCATTGAAAAATGTTTCTTTGAGTGAATTCATAAGTATGTGTATTTTTGGATTGCATGTTTGAGAAATAACAATAGTTACTTTGGCTCTGAAGTGGCGGAAATGTCGAGCACATCATTGTAATAAAATTGGAAATATTCAATCTTATAATGAAAAATACTTTATTTATCTCAATGTAATGTCTAAGCACGTGAAGTAAATAATATTAACCACTTAGCTTATTCGTTAAAAAAAGGATGACACTCATCTTGAGTATTCTTCAGAACCAACAAAATAGTAATATAGGAGGTAAATTGGACTTCAATCACAAACTGCTCAACATTTTTCTGTGTAAAGTAGTGCTTATGACATACATGATGATACATCAAGCTTCTAAACCTTTATTCATGAAGAATGATAACTTCTTGATTTTCTGTGGAAATGCTTTTAATGGTAGGACTCCCAAAATAAAACCTCTATCCTGCAAAACAGAGGCAGAGGCATGCAAACGGTTAGGGGGTCTTGGTCCCTCCCATTTTTTTATTTATTAATTTTTACCTTCTAAAAATTGTTGCCCCTCAAGTTTTTATATGATAGCGTACAATGTTATGATAACCTCCCAAATTTTCTAGTAGATAATTAAGCATTTCTCGTCACCCCGTGTTTTGCGCTCTATTTTGGAGGCATAAATGCGTAATTATTTCATCTTCAAAAATTGTATTATATATGTTCGAATCAATGAATTGTGGATTTAAAACATATACAAGGTGAGCTGTCAAAATTTAAAGGTAAGTTGTATATGATTACTTGCCCCCTCTTATCATATCCTTGTTGTGTCCCTACTACAAAACCAATAAGAGGTGAGGACTTTAATTATACTCTATATATAAATCCATTGAAAAATGAGCCCAACAATTGGAATATATGTTAAACTTAGCTTCTTTGCAACATACAATATTGTATGATTATGCTCCGTGAATGGGTTGAAGCCAAAGTGTTGTATCATCATCATTTCATCATTTTCATTTACCCCACTGCCGCAAAGGCTCCCACCTACGGTGGGGTAAGGGGGTCGGATGTACGCAGTCTTACTCCTGTACTAAAGCACAGAGAGACTGTTTCCGGATGACCCATAGTGAAAATCCCGTCCAAAATTGCATGGACTGACTGCTGCTTCATAACAAAGAAGCGCAGATAGTTTAGTGAGTCATTTTGCTTTATTCCATCATAATTTCAAGTCAAAAAATAATGAATCTTTGGCTCCATTGCAAATGATGAAGCCAAAGTGTTGATATATATATGAATTTCAAACTTAGATGGGAGGTATTTGTAATATACAATTTTTATAAAGTGTGTCGAGTTAAATGTTCATGCTAAAAGTAGGATCAAAAGTACTTCTTTGATCAAAATTATTAAAGTTATATACACAAGAAGTTCAAGGAGGAATGTTACAGTTCTCCCAAGAATTGAGACATCCGCTAGTTGTTCCTAAATGGATTATTGTTCAAAATAGAACCGAAATATAAATAGCTTCTACTCCATATAATTTAGTCATATGAAGATCATAATTTAGATAATGAACATTATCATTATACCGGTGGTCATATTTAAGACAACACAATATACTTTTTATGCAGGTGCACATATACATCTAAACTTCTAAAAGGTGTAAAAATATCATTCATGTTCTTATAAATTTAAGGAGCGAAATTACCTTTATGTACTTTAAATCAATAAAATAAATCTAAAAAACATCAAAAATAAATTATACATTTAAAATTAAAAATCTACTTGTGTCCAACTCCCCGTTTTATTATTTTTATACCACAATTTAATGTTGTTAGTTATAGAAAATTGTTTAAAACATTACTATATATTTATTTATGATTCGTTCGGAAAAGTGTTAACATATGTGTTTTGATTAAAAATAATAATTAATTTTTTGTATTCTTTGCACTATAAATTAAAATTACATATTTTGTATGATGATAAATAGTCCAAGATTACAAAAGGGTAAATTCAATTGTGTAAAGTTTAAGCAAAATCAAAGAATGTTATTTAAAAAATGTAGCAATGTGTTTGAAATGTTGCAACAAGACTAAAATTAATATTTATGAATTTGAAGTGTTTCAACTACAAGGGAAAAAAGTAATTTTGTGATTTAAAATTAAAGAGTTAATAATTTAACATAAAAATAAATCTTTATTGTTAACTCTTTAATTTTTTTATTTTTCAATGTAGAAATTTAAATTTATACTTTATTTTTGTGTTTTTAAATTTATTTTATTTATTTAAAGTCAACAAGGGTAATTTGCTCCTTTTTTATAAAAATAAAAAACCTATATCGGTCACATTTTCCGATCCAGGTTAGGGTTGATTTCAGAGTCAGAACTAATATTGGGTTGTAAGTTGTAGTGTTACATATGAGCTTTTGCAACTTTTCATCCTTTTACTATCGTGTCAGTGACACTTTTTTGTATTCGTCTTCTAATTTTTTTATTTTTAGTCCTTTGACTATTATGAAAGAAACACTTTTAATTATCGACATCAAAATTTTCCACATTTAGTCCTCCAAGTATTGTCAAATTGATACTTTTATATCTTCTACTATGATTTTGACACATAAATAAAGGACTAAAAATGTTAATATGATAATAATTGAAGGAGTAACAATATAACTTTTGAAAGCGGAAAACTAAACATGAAATATTTCAAAGGCCAATACCAAAAAAGTTTTTTGCACACTGATCATAGGATTAAAAATTGAAAATTTCAAAATAAAATGCTAAAAGTGTCACTCATCTAACAGTCGAGGACTACCGACAAAAACTTTGTTACATACGGAGAGACACGGAGGAACAGTGATGGGCCTCATAATCCTTAACTTGCGATCAATGGCGATTCCATTTTCATTTTCAATCAGTTCCAAATTCAAACACCTCACAAATCACACTCCCCCAGCCTCAGATTACACATTTGCCTCGCTTCAACAAATCTGCAAATGGAAAAAGCAATGGAGAAAACTGAGGAGCAGCCGATGTCGAAGAACGCCAAGAAGAAGCTACTGAAGCAGGAGAAGTACGAAGCGAAGAAAGCTGAGAAGAAGGCATACGCGAAAGAGCAGAAGAAGATGGAGGTCGAGCGGAAGAGAAAGGAATGGGAGGAGAAATTGGCTTCATTGGGTGAAGAGGAAAAGGAGAAGATGATTGAAGCAAGGAGAGAGCTGCGGAAGGAGCGGATGGAGAAACGATCCGAAGAAAGGCATATGAAGGTGGAGAAACTTATGGAGGCGAAAAGTAGTGGGCAGAAGGTTGTCATTGATCTTGAATTTGCACATCTGATGAGCTCTTCTGAGCTTAATAGCCTTGTTCAACAGGTTTTTGCCGATTCCCTTCTTTTTTAGGGTCGTTTATATGAATTTGAACTTGCAGCACCTTTATGGATTTATTGTGAGAATCATGATCTTAGAATACAAGTATAGTCTATTGTCGTATAGAACTGTTGAAAAAAATAAAATTCTGGTGATGGACTAATAGTAGAGTTAATAAGGGTAAGTGCAGGGAAAATTTCACATAACCTATACTACGTATTAGTTATGTACACTCATCAAGCACCAAATGGAGTACTGCATAGATGCTCTTGTCCAAATATCATTACCATTTGGCAGATCATCCTTCATTCCAATATACACTAGTTTGCATATTATATCGCCCCACTGTGCTGGTTTGCACTGCGCACAATTTTGAGGAGAAATATTGGTGTATTTTTATACTGAAATTTGTAGAAGGTTTTGTTTGAAGGATAAATGCACACCAGTGTTTGAGCTTTGTCCACTCAACAAATAAAACTCGGAGATTTTGTGATAAAACTTAAATGCTGGTTTTATTTCAATTAGGGTCAGCTTGGATGGTGAATCTTGGAGGCGAGTTTATTAGAAGGTTAAGTCTATATCTTGATATATGTTTCAGATTTTATAAAATAATATGTGATTGTATAACATTCAATAGCATAGTATTTGTTTTAAAAAGATTATATTCATGGTTTTCTAATGTGTTTCTTTGGGCGCATGATGAAGAGCAATTAAAGTGCTTCATTTTCAAGTTTCAAGAACAGATTTCATAACTTTGAGAAAAAATAAATGATATTTACAAAACTAAATGATTATTACTACATTTATCAATTATCAACCATTATCAAGAATAATTTAAGAAAGATATACTACGTAAGAATGTATACTCATTTATTGCTTATTATGGAGGGCACACTTTGGAAAACCCCTTATATTTATCAGAATATAGACTAATCCCCCTGAAGCCCTCCACCCAAACTAGACCCTTAGTTAGCTTACTGATGTGTGGTTTATCCTCCCAAACAATTAGAGACTACATTACAACTTTAAGGTTCGTTTGGTACGATGTAATGTAAACACTTTGCGTGCAAAGTGGAGGGGTAGTAAGCTACTAAAAGTAAATATTTTACACCGTTTGTTTTAATTATTTAATGTAAACTGTAGGACACTTTTTTAAAAACATTTCACACTGTACCATGTAAAATACTTTACAGGGGAGGGTAGTAAACTATGTTACATTGATTAATTAATACCGACTATAACATATACGGAGTAATAACGATTTAATACTTTGCACTACACTCTCTCCTAGGCTCCTAACACTTCACACACACATGTTTGATTTGGTCAATGGCTATGTAATCCTTTCCTAAATATTTTACACGTAAATTTATTTTCCAAACAAACAATGTAGTTTAAAAACAGATTACACATAACCAAATGATGTATTTCTATTTTACACATGCAAATCACTGCCCTAAACTTTACATGCGATCATTTTGCATGTAAATTATTGTGTGAACTACCAAACGTGCTCGTATAGTTATGTTTCTTTTCTTCACAACCTGTGTTGATTATTGATTTATTGACCTAATTTTGTTAAGTGGGGGGTCCACAGATTATGTATTGCTATGCTGTAAATAGAAGATGTTCATCTCCAGCCCATCTTTGGTTGACCAGCTGCATTGGAGAAATGCAAAACCTTCTTGAACGGCTCCCTGGGTATGATAAATGGGTAATTGAGAAGGAAAACAGGCCATACATTGAAGTATTTGATTACAAAAAAGAAAACCTGGTATACCTCACGGCTGATTCTGAAAACGTGCTGAATGAAATGGATCCGAAGGCAATATATATCATTGGTGGTTTGGTGGATAGGAACAGGTGGAAAGGAATAACTATGAAGAAAGCAGTAGAGCAAGGAATTCAAACTGCAAAACTCCCCATAGGAGACTATCTTAAGATGTCTAGTTCTCAGGTTCGATTTCTTTTCTAATCTTGATTATTTCCTAGTTTCCTTAGTATGGTACTCTCTTTTTTATGTTGACCCAAAAAAGATGGAAATAATACTGAAGCCAGAAGCTCATCATCTTCACAAACTTTAATCAAATTTACCCTCACCAACGGGATTTGGATGCCCTTATTCATCTGATCAAGAAAATTTATTCCAATTTTGATGTAATATTTGTTGTTTTACATGCAGGTCCTTACTGTGAATCAAGTGCTAGAGATAATACTCAAGTTCTTGGAAGCAAAAGATTGGAAGGACTCATTCTTCCAAGTCATTCCTCAAAGAAAAAGATGTGAATACAGCCAGGAAGGCTGTGATGGAGAGGTGCAAGAGAATGTGGAAGCTGGAGAGAAAGAAATCAAAAAACGAATTGAACTATTGGATGGAGAAAACTTGGATGATAAAGATGGTTTAGATGTAAAAAGGCAATGCATTGAGAACTCTTTATGAAACAATAGTTTTTGCTCATTAATTTCTTTTCAACAAACAAGGACGTTTTCTCTTCACCTAAGAAATGTGAACTGATCTGATTTTTCGAGATATGGTCCAGCCTAGTTTAAATCTTTTTGTTCCAATATGCTAGCTATAATTAGGTCTAATCTGAATTCAGAATAGTTCCAATTTTGTCTACTTTAAAAAGAATGTAATAATTTTTATATAATTTGGTCGGATCAAAATAGGATCGGGTGATGCTCGGAGTAAAAAGAATAAGATTGTATATCCCATGACTAATAAGCGGAATAAACCTGTCTCGAACCATATGGAGCCATAATTTTTATTAACCTGACAAGTGACAACATTCACTGACCTTTTACTCCTAAGACATGTCAAAAGGAAGACAAAATGCATGATTAAATTTTCTTTATACTACGTATTAAAAGGGACTTTTTGAAAAAACAAAAAGAGCACTTTATTAAACAAAATATGGAAAAAAAGGATGACGCCCAATCCCTGAAGGCTTCCAACCTCCACCGGACGGTACGTTGGGAGGATGTAATTGGACTATAATCTCAATCTGACAGATAGATTACAACTCTTATAATCCAGCCATCATAACTCATATAAGTACATAGATCCGTCTAACTTTGCTGTAGCTTACTCATGGAAATGAAATGAACTACCTACCACTCTTTATTTTTTTCTTTTCTTTTTCCTCTTTCGTTATACAATACAAACACACACATATGTATATATAAATTACATCTCGCAACTTTATAACTAAATCAATCGATCTTTCAACTACAAATTTGTATCATTGCATAAACACTTCATTGACTAACAAGCTTTATTTTCCCTCATATCATATTATCATCCATCATGTCCAATAGTGTCGCACTACTGATAATCTCATTATTGTTTGTTCCAGCATTTGCCAGAGGCAGTTCTCCGACACAGCAAAAAACGACGGCTTGGTACTGTGTAATCATGAGGTGTCCGCTTATTATTCCGGTGATGCCGCCATGGAACATAAGCCCTCAACCTACTTCATGGTGGTACCAACCGCCTACATGGTACCCACCGCCTGTGTTGTACCAACCTCCAGTCCCGCCAAATGTCGAACCCGCTCCATTACCAGTGATCCAACGGCCACTCCCACCCTCACCCCCACCACCACACGAGTCACATCACCATTCCCAGATCCGGCATCGACATCCACCCCCACGGCCACATCACCACTCTCATAACCACCGCCAATATCCACCACCATCACCACCACAGCTACACCACCATCTCCAGAACAATCGCCAGCATCCCCAACAATTGCCTCGGTTGCGCACTGTAACCCAGAACCCCCAAAGGCACACTGGTAACTGCTGCCAGCCACCTCCACAGCCCACCACTACAAATCCACCATTATCATCACCTTCACCAGCAGTGGCGCCACCGCTAATTCCCGACTGCTCGACAGCACTGATTAAGGTAGATGGGTGCATTAGAGAGGTGATAGAGTCATTTGCTGGGAGTGAAATACGTATAGGAAGAGAGTGTTGTTTGGTCATTTCAACACTTTCACATGAATGCTTTGACAAGGCATTAATGCTGCAGTTCAGCGACACTGTCTTCCGCTCTAAAGCCACCGCCTTTTGCTCAGCCGTCCACAACTCTTATCCATAACTCGTCCAATACCAATAGTCTTCGTGCACCAATACTATTTTTTTAATTGCCTTCATCTCTTATTTGTATAAATAGCTAATTGCGTGTATCAATAAGTCGGCTCACATAAAAAGTACAACTATATAGTCAATAATACAAAGACTATATATATAGCTTAAGTTTGAACTGCACTTGATCTCATATCCTCATCTACTCACTCCCATCTAAACTAAGTATTTACAAAACAAATTAACCACTAATCTTATATTTCATTATAAACAACCATAATGAGTTAATCACTTAGTCATTCATGAAAGGAGACCAAAAGCAAAGGTAGGCTGGTGGATCCAACGGATCATTCAAATGCTATAGACATGAATGCATCATCCCCCAGCAAGGAATTGATATCGAGTAGGTCATCGTCATCTTGGAAAATCTCATCCTTAGAAATCCCAGCTGTTATAGGTGATGCGTCGTCCTGCACCAAAAAAAATTAAAAATTAAGGGGGGGAAACACTAGCCCGTTTGACAAGATTATATCTTGGCTGAATATCTAAAGTTCATGAAATTTTGACTGGTTTGGCTGAACATCTCAAGTTAATGAATTTTTGACTGATTTGGCTGAATATGAATTATAGCTGAACTCCATATATTTATGAAAATAAGGCTCTATTTAAAAAAACTGATTATAATAGCTCAAAGAAAGTGATACTATGTAGCTAAAAAGAAAGTAGAAGTATTGTGTCAACTACACAGCTTCAGCCAAAAATACCCTCCGCGCTACTTTCCATTTGGCATTTAGTTCAGTCAGCACTGTAAAGAGAGTCTTTGATATTTTTGCTAAAAAGCAGAAAAAAAGTGGGCATCAATACAAGTAAAATAATTTAGATAAGCAACCTTTCCAGACTTCAGATTTCACTGCAAGAACTCAATTACCAGTTTTGCGCCTTTTACTAACAAAAAAATAAGTAATATGTCTGGAAATCACGATGCTGCACATTTAAAGAAAATCAATTTACCTTCAGTTCACGGAACCCTTCAGCAGTAGTAAGCATTCTATGATATTGTGCACGTGCCTCGGGATACTGAGCCATAGATTTTACCCGCAAAAGGGCCTTTTGCATTCTTTCTTCAGTCTGTTTCCTTCCCTCCTTGAGAAAATCATAATCATCTTCCACGCATGATTCTTCCATGATGGGCTTTGCAACTGCATCAGATTTGAACCCCCTCAACCCACTTCCTTTACGCCTCCAGCGCAATATTACCTTCTCCAGAATTCCCACCGACCATATTATTGGTTTATACTTTTTCCTTGCTTGATGCCCCCTCACATGTGCCTTTAACACATCAATAAAGAAGTGAGTTTTTACAGTCACATTTATACTGAACTAATAAGGTGCATTGCAAAATTGAAAAAGGGATAACTTCTTAGAGTCTTAGTGTAAGTTTGGCATGCATAAATTAGGAGCTTCTAGCTTATGTACTATTGAAAAAGGGATAACTCCTTAAAAGCCCCTAGCTTGAAGCATTTCTCAAGTGCTACATGGGGTGGCGCCGGACCAATGAACTTTTGGCAAAAGCCCCTATTTGTGTGACTAGGAAGTGAGCTGTAATCAAACACCTAAAATCTGATTCACCAACAAACTTTTCAGCTAAAAGAAACTAGCACCTTCCAAAATTATAAAAAGTAGCTTTTCAAATAGTCATGACAAACGTGCATTTATATCAATCCATGGAGAGAAATACAATTTCAAAAATAAAAATAAGAGATAGACATTGTGTTCAAAATCCAAGATTTTCCAATTTTTACCAAATTAGGTTAGAAACGTTAACACGGAACCTAAACTTGTATGCCTTCATTAGTCATCAATAAACCTTCACCAAATGGTTAAAAAAGTAGTTCTTCAACTAGTCATGTCTCAAAAAAATTTAGATCAATCCATGGAGTGAAAATACATTTTCGAGTTAGAGGCATTGTGTTCAAAATCTACAATTCTAGAGTTATGCATAGGGTTGTTAATGAACCGAGCTTTTATCGAACTATTCGAGTTCGATCTCGGTTTCGAACCTAACGAGCCGAGCTTAACGAGCTTTCGAACTCGAACCCAAGCTGAGTTTAAAGTTCGAAAAGTTAATCGAGCCGAGCTCGAACATAGTAGTATTCGGCTCGTTTTGAACTCGATCCTATCGAACACCCTGAAATTATAAATAAAATTTTTATATATTTCAAAATTTAAATATAATTAGTATGATTTTATGAATTTAAATATGAATATTAATGAACCGAATACTTGTCAAATCATTCGAGCCCGAGCCTATTAACGAGCATCACCTAAAATTTTAAATTCGAGCATAATTATCGAGCTTATCGAGAACTCGTTTCAAACATCGAACGCCTATCGAGCCGAACAAGAGCCTCATTTGTAAAGCTCGTCGAGCTTCGAGCTCGAACCCGAACACCACTAATTCCTAATCGAGCCAAACTCGAGCTTTGGGTGTTCGGGCTCGGCTCGTTAACAGCCCTAGTTATGCATCCCAATTACTACCATATTAGGTTAGAAACGTTAACATGGCACACTATAACGCACGGAAACGGCTGGGGGTAGAAGTTTCCCCGTTTTGGAAACGTTCGAACGTTTCCGAGCGTGGGAAACGGCAAAAACGTGTATCTGGGCCGTTTCTTAATTTTGGGAAGTTTGGAAACCCGTTTCCCAGTAAAAAACACGGTTCCAATAAAAAAAGGGCCTATTTACTTTCACTCTTCAACCCTACGCATACCAGTCAAGTTCCGTCGCAGGCTTCAGCAGAGTTCGCCGGCTTCGATCAGCAGAGTTCGCCGGCTTCAGCAGAGTTTGCCGGCTTCAGCATAGGTCGTCGTCGTTCAGGTAAGTTTCAGAGACTTTGAAATAGTTCCCCTCATCCCCTTCCTTCATCGTTTTCAGCAGGTTAGCTGGCTTCAGCACAGGTCGTTGGCTTCCTTCGTCGTTTTCAGTCGGTGGGTGTATGGCAGATTAGTGGGTGTGCATTTAAAGTGAAATTTAATAGTGGCATAGTGCTGTGTATTCCACTACACATTTGGCACTTTTATTGATAAGCTTACTGCCTTGCTGTTTAGTTTTTTAAATAATTCAATTACTTTTAAATATTTTATTGTATATTGTATAATTTAGATTATTTTTAATTTTCTAGTGGAGGACAGTGTTAATTAATAATCTCGTGTGGCATGTTTGTACATATATGTGCGTGTGTGTGTGTGTGTGTGTGTATATATATATATATACATATAAAAAATTCACAAATATTATTATAATATTTATAAAATAACCCCTATATTTTTAATATTTGCATGTTTCCCCCGCGTTTCGTGTCCTGTATTTTTTGTAAATCGCGTTTCCGACGTTTCCCGTTTCCCGTTTCTGTGCTACTTAGATAGCACATAATGCTTGTATGCCTTAATCAATAAGCATTTCAGTATTTCACCCATGGTTGAATGCAATTGTGAAGTAAAGGAAAACTGAATGTATATCAAAATAACACGAGAATCAATAGAGGAAAATGCACCTGAATTTTAACAACCCTTTGACGGATTAAGAGGAACTCTTTTCTCTTCTTCCAACCACGATACTTTTTCTGGATTTGTGTTGCAGCAGAATGGGAAATTCGATCAGTATGGCCCAGCCTTGATTTTCTACAAGCAACCATAGAAACAGCATGCTCATCACTTGATAAGTCATCACCACATAGAACTCCCAGCTGTTTCCTCTGGAAGGACTGGACCCTGAAAATTTGATGTATGCGAGCGGCTGTCTGGGTAGCATTACGCACAGCAGCAAGTGAATCCTTCAGTGACATATCTGATGCAATATCAGTAGTTGCTGGAACACTTTGCATCTCTTTTGTTTTTGAAGTGATGTTTTCCTTTACATCAATCACTGTAAGGGTTGCAAGATGTATGGTCAGAGATGACTCTGCTAGAAATCCAGAAATTCCCTTGTGGCCATTTGCAGATGCCAAATCTGCAGGAGTTCTACCCAACGGAAACTCAGCAGATGGATCTGTTAATGCTCCAGCGGATGCACCCAGAGAAACAAGAGCCGCAACTGTCTCCTCCCTGTAAAACAAGACAAACAGGGTTTTTTATAGATGAAAAGATTCATAGATAAAGCATTCAAAGGATTTCATTTCAAACACTAGGAAGTTTTAGAATAAAATACTACTGCATATAATCCACTCTATGTGTCCTACTCGACAACAAGGAAAGAGTGCACGATTGAAGATATCTTCAGTTAATTTAAACTTGTACCTTTTTTTCCACCACCACCACCCCCCAAACTTGTACCTTTAAATAGTACATAAATAGTTCAATTTTTTGTTTGGGGGGCAAAGGAAAGGAACACCAAAATTTCTATAAAATAATTAGTGACAAGATTTCTATTTATAAAAGATTATTAAAGGAAATAAAAAAGCAAAAAAAGATGCAGTTTAACCGCTGAATTTAACCAGGTCAAATGGGACAGAGTGAGTGCATGGATTCATGCCTTATCCAAAGCACATTATTGGCATCACAAAATGTTCAGGGAAAAGAAAATCAGTTCAGTCTTATCTATGTTTCCAAAGAAGTTGCTTCCAAAGTGGACGCCATTAAACAGTGAGATTGGTGCCTGGTTTAGATGAGGATAGAGTGAGCTGAGGTGAAAATTGAGTCATTGAAGTTGCACAAAAGGATCTCTACTAGTAAAACATTCAAAGGATATAGATGAAGTGATTCATAGATAAAGCATTCAAAGGATTTCATTTCAAACACTAGGAAGTTTTAGAATAAAATACTACTGCATATACTCCACTCTATGTGTCCTACTCGACAACAAGGAAAGAGTGCAAGATTGAAGATATCTTCAGTTAATTTAAACTTGTACCTTTTTTTCCACCACCACCACCACCCAAACTTGTACCTTTAAATAGTACATAAATAGTTCAATTTTTTTGTTTGGGGGGCAACGGAAAGGAACACCAAAATTTCTATAAAATAATTAGTGACACGATTTCTATTCACAAAAGATTATTAAAGGAAATAAAAAAGTAAAAAAAGATGCAGTTTAACCGCTGAATTTAACCAGGTCAAATGGACAGCGTGAGTGCATGGCTTCATGCCTTATCCATAGCACATTATTGGCATCACAAAATGTTCAGGGAAAAGAAAATCAGTTCAGTCTTATCTATGTTTCCAAAGAAGTTGCTTCCAAAGTGGACGTCATTAAACAGTGAGATTGGGGTGCCTGGTTTAGATGAGGCATTGAGGATAGAGTGAGCTGAAGTGAAAATTGAGTCATTGAAGTTGCACAAAAGGATCTCTACTAGTGTTCTCAAGTGTGGAAGGGGAGAGGTCTGTCTTGATCCCAATGAAGTCGAAGAAAACTCCATGGCCAATAATGATGGACAAAACATTAGCAAATTGGTAAATACTGTGATTAACCTGAGGAAGCCAACTGAGATCCAATCCGGATCTCATGCAAGCTGGATGTAGGAAGCCAACTAAGATCCATTCCAGATCTCATGCACGCTGGATGAAGGAAGCTGAGAGAAAGGGCCATCATTCTGGATATTGTAAATGAAAGGATCCTAGAGAGGCTAGGTTAACCTCCTAAAGTGCTTTGGATGAGAAGGATGAAGAATCCAAGAAGATTGGCAAGCACGTGTACAATGACATTTGCACGAAAGTTAAGGGAAATGTATTCAAATTTCAAAACAAGTGTATGCTGATAGATACCATCCACAAATCAAAGGAAGAGAAGGCAAGCGAAAAAGCCAATAGGGCGACAAACAGGGCTAGCCGTGAGAGACAGTTTGCTAGGCGGGAGGAATATTTAGCAAAGAGTCATGCAGAAAAGGAAGCGCCAGCTTTGGCATCAGCTCCCTGAACTCAATAAGCCCCACATGGCCACATGTATCTAATTAAAGAAGCTAAAAAGTCAAACCTTGGATGTGTCATTACTCTCTGCATCTCTGGCAAGTTTAATGCATTACATTATGTTTCCTGATCCTTAATTGTCATTTTACTGTTCTCTTTTCATCAGAATATTTGTAATTTTCAAGCATGTGGAGTTTATAAGTCTTGTTACTGTGTTTTAATTCTAGTGTTTTTGTCTACTCTACTCCAAACAACTCTCTCTAGGATAATGGTATGGTCTTACCAAGTGGTACACTTTCAAGATCATATTAGAAGGCTTTAAAAACAATTAAAATATCAGTCAATGGAAACAGCACAGCACTGCATTCAAATTAAAATTCAAACGCGACTGTAGGACTTCAATTGGATTTACCTGCCGTAGAATGCAGCCCAATGAAGTGGAGTCCATCCATTTACATCACGAAAATCTATTCTAACTCCTGATACTATAACTGGATTCAACGCCCAATTATACCCAAGCGCAGCAGCCAAATGAATTACACCTTGACCTTCTTCATCTACAAAAGCTGGTCCTTTTCCGTCTTCAGTCATTTTATGGAGAAGCCACGTGTAGAACCTTTCTTTAAGCTCTTTTTCAGAAAGTGGTGACTCCCTCTTTTTGGGCTCACAAAGGTCCCTAAAATCTGTCATACAAAGATTTTCCTCCTCCATTAGGGAGATAAGTTTATTCACTACAGTTTGTTTCTCCACAAGATTGTCTGAGCTGGAATGATCGACTGTGGGTCCCAAACGCAACAGAAATTCAAAGCGCTCATGGAGAGGAACCCTCATCATATGAATATCACCAGTATTAGTGTATCTATCAGGTCCATCTCGATATTCAAACTCTCTTACTTCACTACAGGCCAACCTGTTAGAACAAGTTATGTAAATTGGGACTGTCCCAGCCCTGTGTGGGGGACTATAACAACAGAGTAGCCCATTTGGCAAAACTTCAACTGGGACCTCAACTTCTCCAAACATGCATGACCAGTTGCATTCTTCCATTTCTTTTTCACTCTTAAGAAACTTTCCTGTAATGATCACCTGTTTCAACAGTTTAGAAAAGAAAATATTAGAAATGAGAATTTAGCAGAACCCAAAGACAATGCCCAAATTCCTGTTTGTGGATGTCCCATTTTGATTGTCTCATTTACTAAAATGGTACTCCCTCCATCCCAAAAAAAACTTCTCACATTGACTTGGCACGCATATTAAGGAAGTGGAATAAAGTGGAAATGTATGGTTGTAGTTGTGTAAGAAAAAGGTGAAATGAATGTGAGCCACACAAATTGTCCAAAAATGGTAAGTGGGAAGAACTTTTTGAGACGGCCCAAAAAGGAAAGTTGGAAGAATTTTATGGGACGGAGGGAGTAAAAATGAGTAGACCATAATAAAGATGCTTTTTATTAACTCATAACATTGTCATAATGAGTGGACCGAACTAAAGATGATTTTTTATTACTCCCTCCGTCCCGAAAAAGTTGGCCAAAGTTGACTTCCACGTGGATTAATAAAGTAAAAACTGTGTGGTTGAAATTTGTGCAGAGGAGCGAGAATTAATTTTAGCCACATATTCCTTACTTTAAATGGAAATGGCAAATCTTTTTGGGACATCCAAAAAAGGAAATTTGGCGAACCTTTTCGAGACGGAGGGGGTATTATTTAATCCAAAATGACATGAGGCAATATCTTTGGGAAGGAAGGGGGTCGTTGAGTCGTTCAACCATCACGACTTGTGGTAAATTATAAAATGCACCTTAGTTTTTATGTTTGAATATGCCGAAGTTGGTGAAAAATCAATGATGCTGAAAAGTTGTTCCTGAGATAGTGACGGATTCAGTGAATCAGAACCCAGTTGCAATTGAGAAGGTATACAAGAATCACTATCCTCACTCTCTATAGCAGACCATGAAATCCCATTACTTGATTGCATTTGAAACTCCACAACATCTCCAAGTTCTTTATCAACCCATCGGGAGAAGCTGTCAACTTTATCCAATCCTTCTTTCACACCAGAACCATCCAAAAGTGGATGCTTCTTTATAAAGTACTCTTCATTCCCAAACATCTGCACATTATTATCGGAACTAGAATGGCCTTGACTACTCATAGCCATAGGTGGCTCTGCTGTTCCGTTAAGACACGTGTTCAATGGTACAGTAGAGTTGCAGAAATATTCTGGAAGATAATTTTTATTCGGAAACCTTCCCATGGTAAAATCTGAGTCGCACATTGCAACTTGCTGGACAGGCTGCTCATGATATTGCGATGCAGGATCCTCAGAGTGGTACTGAAAGAAGTAAATAGTGTCACTCCGTAATTTTAAAAATGGAACCAGCAAGCTTCTAATTACAATGGATAATGAGTGACCAAAACGGAAAAAAGGAAAATGATACGAACCAATCAGTAGTTCCCCCAGTTTGGCACAAATTATGGGTGTATGATTACACAAAATTCAAGGAGGGCTGAATAGCATCTATTAGTTGATCCCAAAAAATATGCATTGCTTCCTCTGAATACTCATATTAAATTATATACTATATCTACAAATAAGAACTCAGTTGAGAAAAGGGGTGAGGTGTTAGTTTTATGAAAATAGTCCACTTTGCTAGGAGAGGAGAAAAACTTGTTAGGTAGGTCCTCTGTCTCTCATACAGCTATCTATGAAGCTCTTTTAACTGTCTCTATTATCTTTTCTATTCAGCGAAATTTCTGCATTTCGTGTGCCTCTTTACTTTATATCAGATATATAGGCATCAATATAAGAATACATATGTAGCTACTTGCTAGCATTATAAGTATGTTGTTGATGACTTGAGGTACATCAAAGTTGAGTACCTGCCAATTTGTCTGGACTAGAGGACTCGTGGTATCCTGATTGAAAGCAATATCACCTGCAAGGCACTAACTCAACTGTTACTCTTGGTCATCCATATAATCTAAATTTTATATTGGAAGTTCACTGCAGAATATGGTGTTTTAATACCTTTTGTACAACTCTCCAAAAAATCTTCCCAAGATGCGAAATCAGCCACATGCTGAGACCCTGCTGCAGGAATAACCAATCATCCATACAGCAGCAAATACAGTACTCAAGATCATAAACGAATTTAAATACCATAACACAACATGGTTACTAAATTAGTGCACGTACCAGGATAATGGAAGGGAACTGTATCAACATTATCCACTGAATAACTTCCAGCTATAGCAGCTATCTCGGGGAATGATTGCAACCCAGCAGTTCTGAGATTACTGCATTCTGATTGAGTTTTGACCAGCACAAGCAAAAGATTACAAAGGTTCAACAGTAAGCTTTACCAATTACCAATATCAGCAATGACATAATATTTAACTAACTTCATCAGTGTAAGAGTACCCAATGCAAGTATTTTACAAAACAGCATATAAAAAAGCATATACCAGATTCAACATCTTCATATGCTGATGTAAGAGTGCTTGTTGGACTAGGAGAATCAACTGAAGTAGAAGTCAGTTTAGTGCAATTTCCTGAACTGACCGACATTGAACTTACATCTAAAGAATTTGATTGAGTTGGTCCAGTACTTCTCATCGCTTTAGTACCCTGAAACAAAAAACAAACAAACAAATCTAAATATATTCTAAATAAACTAAGCATGAAAGGTTATGAAAAATAAGTAACAGTGAGTCAGCAAGGGTGTAATTGTGTAAAAGAGAAATGCAACCTATGAAATGATGGAATTTTACCTTGATCTCCAAGTAGTGCACAAAAACTATGTGCATGAGATCCCTGTTCCATAAAAACTAATAAGAACCCCCTTTGAAGTAAATTTCAATTGCTGAAGCATTGTAGAAGGAAACAGAGAAGACCCTGAGCTAAAGAACCCAACTTTTTGGCAATGTAAATTGTCAAATACAGGGCTAGTCCAGTTCATTCAGAACTTGAATCTCTACTCATTTTGATTCTCAACAAAAATATATGATACGTTCAAGACAGAAAATACTTGACACAGCTATAAGGCCCGTACTCACTGTTCAAGCATCCAATAGCTACGCCGTTGAAAATTTTCATTTTCTTCACCATGTGCATAATAGCAGTGCAGCATATCAACACTTCCGACCTGCATACATATCATGTTAACATTTACCACAGAGATTGTGGAATAGCTTACCAGGCAATACTTCAATACAAAAGACAACGGTAAAAAAACTAAAATTCAGGAAAAATTAGGTAGTCACTGAAGAACATAATGAATTTATAAGCAAGCTTTCAAAGGAAATGCCAAAGGAAAAACAAAAGATCAAGCTAACCATTCTTACCTTTAGCTTCTCATGAGCTTCCTTTACAGTTTTTCCATCCTTTTTCTTCCGCCAATTATGACCATCTTTACGAAAATATCGGAGCACCTTCCGATCAAAAAGAAAAACAGAACCACCTGGAATCAGATATATAACGATAAAGCAATATGTCAGAAAAACAAGATAGCAGAACACTTGTAAATACTCATTTAGTTACCTTGATGAAAACAACTAGTCTTAAAATACACAAGAAGCTATGTATCAGAAAAGAAAGTAAATTGGAAAGAGATGAATAACATACTGACTGGCTTATACAGCGGTTCTGGTGTAATGTGGAACTTTCGGTAGTTCCGCAAAATTTCACAAATTTCAGCTGGTCTTAGCCACCGATGATGTGCTTCCAGTAATATTTGTTTGATATCTGCATATTGGACATTTTAAAAACATTATAGGTTTACTGTACTAAACAAACCATGTGATTGGGGTACTAAAGTGATGTGTACTGTAAATTATAGTGAACATATTGTCATTGAGCATCATGATGGGGTTTTTGTTTTCTTTGTTTAGTTAGTTCCCAAGTCCTAGTATGTCCATCTGTCTCAAACATTTTACCAAAGCTCACACACACATAAAAATGTAACACAGAGACACATAGAGCAGCATACCAACAGAGAAACCATCAATAGGAGCTACATGTGTGGAGTTTTGACAGGGTCTGACATGTTGAGAACATGTAAAAGCATTTTCTTAATGTTGCATGAATTGATTTTGTTCATATTGAGCATGGGTAAACAATAAAGTTACATAGCACAAATAAAGAATAAAAAAACTAAGTGTGTGCTTGCATTTCTTCAAACGTAATTTAAATGAAATCTCATGTCCAGTGAGTTTTGTAGTATAAAATGAATTGCTAAGGATACTAATTCATGTCAATAAATCAGTGCGGGTGGACAATGAGCCTTACTGTTATTAATCATTCAAAAAAATCAGCTATTCTAAAGATCAACCTTTTTCCTCTGAAGGACTCGGAAGAATAACTGCATTACGTCAACAGGGCCAGGAGATGTGTGTCATTACGAAAATAGTATTCAAATAACTGCAGCTCAATTTTCAGTTCACTTTTCATATATTTAGCTTTAAAAAGTATAAGAGGATTACATCAACAGGGCCAGGAGATGTGCGCCTGTGTGGTGAAGTTGATGAAAAATATTTAACACTTCAATTAGGTTAAAAGTTAAAAGATATACTTTTTGCCATATTCAGATAATTTCTCAAGCTCTTATGAATGGGACTCCTCACATGCTTGAAACAGAATAGGAAATTAGGATGAAGAAAATGCTGAAGAATTTAACAGAAATCATGTACCCAGCAATGTCCAACAGGTTTAAAAGATCAAATCAAGTTTTATGAATGTCGTATTGCTACTAAACCAGTAAAGCAATTATGAAAAAATAAACTAGAGACATGATCAGAGGAAATCAATGAAAAATTGAAATCATGTATACGAGCGAATTGTCTTTAATATCTAAAACCAAAAAAACTCAACCCTAAGCAAATGCAACAAATTTATATATATCATTGCTTTTAAAACTTGTTGATTGAGCGTGGATTAATGTGCCCATTGCTTGAGGCATAGTGCTGCTTTCTTCTTTAAGCCTGAATTTGACAAAGACTTCTCTACTTGAGGTCGAACAGTTTTGTAACCGATAGCCAAATAGGGGGTCATTTACCAAAACCCTAGTGCGACTTCACTATAAAATGTGACTTGTTTCTTCGAAGACTAAAACTAAGTCACTGAAGAAGCAATAGAGCTCACTGGAACACTTAAGATAACACTTAAGACACAACCACAACTCTCCAGTATTCCCCTTTGGACAGATTATCCCATTCACTCCGCCACACCGTCACAGAGGAAAAACATAAATGAAGAGTCGAATTAGCTGTCACTAAACTGAAAACCCATCGCTTCAAGATGAAAGGTGGTAAAGATAGTTACACTTTACCTAATCGAAAGCCTAGAGGGTCCGATCCGCTTTCCTCCATGGACGATCTTGATCCGGATACCAACAGAATCCTTACGGGTCGAGCAGTACAACGATGTAGGGTATTACCGCTTGTGGAGGGAGATGGCGATAGATAAGGACGAGGAGAATAGAAATCGAAGTTGGAACTATGGGTGTGAATGCGATGAAGTTGGTGTTGAATTTAATTGCCCTTCTTTGTCTGAACTTTCCTGAATCATGAGCAGGAAGGACTAAGGAGACTCATAAAGGCTCGTACCCAAAAGGCATTAGATACCCATAATGTTGTGGGTCCATAAATTAACTTTCATGCTACCTCTTTCCGATTGGAGTTTGAAAAAGGTAAAGTTGCTCGGAAATAAGAACAGTGAAAATTGTATGATTTATATTTGTGCAGAGGAGAGAGAAATGTGTATAATCATAAATTAGTTGTTTTAATAGGAAAGTGGCAAAGTTTCTTAGAACAACCAAAAAGGAAAGTTGGCTAAGTCCAATGGAACAGAGGGAGTAAATTTTTATTTGAAATTTGCTCTTTGTACACAAAATTGTACACTTTAGTCTACATCATATGAATAGATTTTTTAACCAAATTTACCCCCAGACCACACATGTTTCTCTTCTCTCTCTCTTCTGTTTTCTTCTTCCTCTCCAAGCTTCCTTGGTAGACATCATCCTCTTTACTCTCCTATTACAAAGGTCCATATTTTCATTGTTTAGAATGGATTTTATAACAACACCAACTCGAGAAGATTGATATGAAGTGTTATTGATGGAAAGGACGACGTCAATCGGAGATGGTAATACCACTTCAAACAATGGGGAACGGTTAAACATGAACACGGACATCATGGATGATTTGGGTAGCAGTGCAGAATGTGTTTATTGTTTGTTCTCTTTATTTTTGTATTTTTTGGAGAGAAAACGAGTTCTGCTTCTTGCAGTCCTTGTATACACAAATGACTTATAATTACTGTGTACACAGACAACTACTCCATCCGTCCTGAATTGATGTGCAAAAGTTGACCGGCGTGGGGATTAAGAAAGTAAAGAAATTAAAGTTAACTTTATCATTCTGCCATTTCTTTTATAATGAGTAAGAAAAATGGTTGGACAAAGTAATCTACAAACATATTGTTCAACCCTTTACAAAATCAACCGGAAGATAATACTCCGTATAAAGTACTTCACCGCTTCCCAATTTTTACACTTTTCAATGCAACCATTACAATACGGAAGGAAACACTAAGGAGATACCGAAATACAGAGCTTCCATTTCTACTCTTCTGAAATATCCTAATTAACTTACTCTGCTGCACTTTTCTTGAATGGGCCAATATACTCATCTCCTTCCTTAGTGACTTGTAGCTTCATTTAATTCTAACTATGGAGAATCAAGAAATAAGTACTGGAACATCACTACTCCCTCGTCTTCTTTAAAATCTGGAAGATCTAGGGACATCCGCACTTAATGGACATCAAGAGTGCCCATTTGTTGCTGTCCAGTCTCTCTCCGACAGCAACTCTCCCGCCGCTTCAATGATTCAACCTGCGACGCAAGCATCTGGTTCAACGAGGGTGGCAGCAACTAATTTTCGAGGTTGCACAAGGGCGGCGCAGTGGCGATGGAGAAGGGGAGACGGAGCTAATAGACCAAACAAATGAGCTCTGTTGTCGATTCTTCCGTGAGCCGGAGCTGACGAACCAAGCGGAAGCCTGGTGCCGATTCTTCCATTTTACTGAGATGACTCTTGTTTCGATTTGGGTAAATGGGGAGAGAGAAAGGTGTGAAATTGACGTGCTAGTGAAAAGAGATGGATGAGAATTAATAATTGGATGGGTGGGTGGCGGGTACAAGGGTAAACTTGTCATTTTGATCATATTTCTATACCTAAAATGGAAAACGGAAAATCATTTTGGGACGATCTAAAAAGGAAATTTTGCAAAACAAATTGGGATGGAGGGAGTAATATACATGGACAACTAATATTTGTATACAACATTTAGTGCGTAAAAGGTGTTTATGGTATTTTTGTATTAATGTAAACACAAATACGAGTTGGTAATGCAATCCATGTGTACATGCATGACTTTTTTACGAACACGAGTGCCGGAGATAACCAATCCAATTACGTGAGTTTAGTGCACCCCGTAGCCAGCCATCTTCTATTTGTGCTATGATGACACAAGTGACAGTTATAACCACAATGGTACAAGATGACCACAGACAACAAATTCTTGATTGAAAATGTTCAAAAAACAAAGGTGTTCCGAGAAAAAAAAATAGGCAAAAGGGACCACTTGAGGGGAATGAAAATGATCCAAAAGAAATGTTGACACTACGATGCCAATCACATTCAATGGTGATGTAGACTTGAATCTTCATTTGTTTTATATTAATGTTGAGGAAGACTTTACTACTAATATATAAAAAAAATTAGATTAAAAGTCTATATAATTATAAAAAAGATCAAAATTGATAGAAGTTACATACACGGAGTACTGGTATGAGAATTAAATCTATATTTAGAAGTTAGAAGTTTTTTAAAAAGTTAATTTTGTTGGAATAGTTAGAAGTTTTTTAATAGTTTATTTTGTTTTTAAATACAAGTCATAAAGATGATTTAATTAAAACAATGTGTTCCAAGTATTTTCTTCATCATGCATGGTATTTCTTTATTAGGTAATACTATTTTGATGAAACATGAAAAACATTTGGTAATACTATTCTTGATGACTCTTGTAAAGAAAATGATGTTGAGATTTTTTAAAAATTTACTCAGTTTCCATTTATGTGTATGCAGGAATTCACTCAGTGTCCAGTTGTTTGTATAGAGGCATATACTCATTGTCCATTTGTCTGTATACAAGAATTTACTCACCGCACATTTATCTGTATACAAGAATTTTCTAACTCCATATGTCTGTATAAAAGAATTTTCTCACCCCATTTGTCTTTATACATGAATTTACTCACTCGCCATTGGTCTTTGTACGTGAATTTACTCCAACTCGTCTTTGTGTTCACATTAATACAAAAAAAACATAAACACGTTTTACACATTAAATCTCTATATACAGGTATTAGTTGTCTGTGTATATTAGTTGTTTGTGTACACAGTAATTATGAGTCATCTGTGTACACAGGGACTGCAAGAATAACTCATTTTTTCTCCCCAAAAAATACAAAAATAAAGAGAACAAACAATAAACATCTTCTACACAGCTACCTAAATCATCCATGGCGTCCATGTTCATGTTTAACCGTTCCCCATTGTTTGAAGTGGTATTACCATCTCCGGTTGCCGTCGTCGTTTCCATCAACAACTCTTCATATCAATCTTCTCCGGTTGGTGGTGTTATAAAATCCATTCATAAACAATGAAAATATGGACCTTTGTAATAGGAGAGTGAAGATGGTGATGTTTATTGTCTACCAAGGAAGCTTAGAGATGAAGAAGAAAATAGGAGAGAGAGAGAGAGAGAGAGAATAAGAGGAGGATGCATGTGTGGTGTGGGAGGGGGTAAATTTGGTTAAAAAAAACTATTTATAATGTGTACACATATGTGTAAAGGGGTGTGTGCACTAAGGATGTTTTTACTTGGATTGTAATTTGTTGGTCTGGTCTGGTCTGAACTGGTCTGGTCTGGTCTGATATTTTTGTATTTTTATAACTATCCAAGTCTGGTCTGGTCTGAACTGGCTTGGTATGGTCAGGGAGGAATTACAGTCCAAGCAAAAACATCCTAAGCCCAACCCTTTTTGTTTACTACAACGTACGTATTATACATCCATTTATAATGAGCGTGTTTGATATTTATCGGTTGGCGGTTAGTGGATAGCGGGTTGTCAATAGTGGATTCGGTCAATGGATTTGTCTGCCGGAATAAATTGACGAGTTGTTAGAGGATGTTTGGTAATTTAGTTGCTTGGTCATAAAATTAGTACAAAACGTCATTTTTGACTTATTGTTAAGTTGCTATTGTTAGCTTTATTTGTTTTTATTTCTTACATGTTTATTTTAAAGAAATTAAACCTGAAAACTTTGCACCTGAGCTTGTTTTCCGTTGAAAATCTTATTTAAATGACTTATCACGCTTATTATTGTTGTTGTTACTTTGCCTTTCAATTACCGGAAGCTATTTTGACTTCTTATTAAAAAGTGCCTCACCTCTTCTGCAATTAGCTTTTCCACTTATCTCCAAGTATGGCTCGGTTAAGGGAAAGCTAATGAACATACATGATTTTATGGTTTTTCTTGTTAATTGAGATTGAGCTGTGCATCGTTATGAAATATCTACCCTAAATTGTATCCTACGTGCTTCAACAACATATTCACTAGTCACGTAGGTTTCTTCCGGATTTTTACCTGGTCACACATGTCTTGCGGCAGTTGAGACGTGGAGGGACGATTCAAGGGACTTGCGACATATAATTTCTTCATCACAAAATTAGGTGTGTCCAATTCAACTTGCTCCCTTTAGCTTCTTAACTCACTCCCACTGCGTTAGTGACAACAATGCTTGGGGGTACACAAGTTGTACACAAACTCGTACACAAAATGTCGGTCACAGATAATTGTACGGAATTGTGTGTGTCCACAGACAACTTTTGTCTGTGTCCACAGACATTTACTTTTTTGTAAAAAGTAAACTGACAGCTGTCTCACACTAACACCGGGTTGCAAATCAATCAATATATGTGCAGTGGTTGTGTGCACAGACAATATTTTCATGTTGCATAGACAATTATTTGTCTGTGTGCACATACAATATTTATCACACAGACAATAGTTGTGCGTCTCACAGACAATAGTTGTGCGTGTGATCAACTTTAGTTGTCGGTGTGATCAATTTCAATTGTTCGGGTGAACAAAAAATTCAATTGTCTATATATATCCAAATGAATGATGTAGTTGTATGCGTGATAAACTTACATGTAATTTGAAAAAAATTAATCAAAATAGATGGTATAAGATGAATAAGCTGATTTTGTGCAAATAATGAAAAAAAATGATATTAAAAGGTGGAGAAAAAGAGAATGAAGAAGGGATGATGAAGATGAAGAAGGGAAGACGGTCTCTCATTTTTTTGAGATATACGAATGTTGGGTAATAATAAAGACGAAAGAGAGAAGGGAGAGGGGGAAGAGAGAATAGATAGAGAAGGGAAAGAGGGGAAATGGGAATTTTTTGGGCCCTTTTATATGGTGTACACTTTGTGTACACCATGTAAGTTTAGCATTTTCCGCGTTAGTAATAA